TCCCTCAGAGCTAAAATGGGAACCACCTGAGCTCCTTGATTTCTCAAGGCCATCTTTTAACTAAGGAGAGCTACAAGCAGCTGCTTCTGGGATGCCCTGATAAGAGTTACAGGGCACTACTCCTTAGTGAGGCACTCTGCAAAACTGAAAACACTGCCTCCACAATGCTTCCAGCTCTTGCTGCCAAAGAACAAAGGGCACATGCAAATCCAATTCCCAATAATATTTAAAAAAACCCAAACAAACCAATACAGTGTCACAAAGCTGTGAATTGCACGTGTTGGCATGGTGTATGGGAAGCATATTGTGTTGGTACTAATGCTGTAATTGCTCTGTGGGCAAAGATCTTCTGTATCCAGAATGATCCACCTAAAGCTTTCCTTGACTATAACTCCCTCAAAAATCAAAGCAATAAAGAAGTGAAAGAGGGAAAGTTTTCCAAGGCAAATCTTTTTCATTCTGCATGGCAAATACTCAACTCAGTTTTCCCTGCTGTATAGCAGAAAGGAAGGACAAATCAATCTGTCTAACCTTCGCTCGACTCCTCGTATTCCTCCTCTTCGTCCTCTTCTTCCTCCTCCTCCTCCTCGTCTTTGTCCTCAATCTCATGATTTTCCTCAGCCTCATTCTCTTCTTTTTTTTTTCCCTTCAGGAGGGCGTGGATACGCACAGCCTCTTTCCAAGGCACACCACCCAAGTCTGAAGGGGGTTGCTGAGGCAGTAGTTCATCATCTTCTTCCTCATCTTCCTCCTCCATCTCAGACTCTGAACTACTGTGTTTAGAAAAAAAGATACAGAAACAATTAGTTAATGTTTCCTAGATCAGTCTTAGACCACTGACAAGTTTTTTCAATACATACAAGCCCAAAACGTACAATGGAAACCATAATACTAATTTTCTGCTTTCAGTATTTCATAGGTGTTTTAGTGACAGCATCATGTGTGGGCTGCAGTATGGTCCTTGTCCGCTTCTTTTAAAGAGGGTGAAGCAGCAGAAAAGCACCTGTGAAGCCAAGTCTAAATATTTGTGCAGCATTAATTGTTACAGTTCATGACAGTTGAATACCGCAGAAAGAAACTGCTTTCTTTATATCACATTGCTTTGGATAAACCGGTGCAAGAGTTCTCAGCAGTGCCAGAATGCAGAAGGTCATGTTTTTTGATACTAGCAGCTACTGATACTAGCAACTACATTTTGGAGAGCTAAGATGTTTTTGGCACTTGCTGGGGTGAGCCACAGAAGGCTTTGGGAGTAGAAAGAACACACAACACAACTATCAGGCCAAAGGATACAGCATGTGAGCTAAGGAGAGCTGGAGAAAAAAACCCACAAAATTCCTCACTTTTCCACATCACAGACAGAACTGTAATACGTATCCAATTAGGCACACAGTGTACATAGTGGCAAGAAACTGTAGGAAGCAGTGCAAGGATAATTACAATAATGAGCTTATTATTCTCACAACAAAGTCTAAAACATGCAAAACAGTAACTCATTAGTGCTTTTTAGTAGACATCTCTAACTCTAACAGTTCCTCAGTATAAGCAGCAGGGGCAAGAAACGTAACCACCTATACGACGACATTTAATCTAGCTCACTCTTACATGCTGGACTACCTAGAAGGGCTGAGGAGAAAGATGGTTGCATTTGTCACTGGAAAATGAATGTGAACTACAGCACATTCAAACATATCTGCAGGGTGAAAAGGTCCTCTTCCTTTGTTTTTCCTTAATAGATTATTGTCATAAAAGAATTGCATTTATCAGAGCAACAGTTAGATGCTTCCCATATAAATCTTAAAAGGCCCAAATTCATCTGGATTGAAGGAGAAAACTTTGTGAATGGCTAAAGTTTGGGTGAATCATCTGAGAACAGTATTCTGCTCCTGCTGCTTCCTTAAGACAGTGTCATTAAGAAGAAAATTAACTCTATCCCAGCTGAAACCAGGACAGTCAGCTATCACTGTAGTTAATAGCCTCTGGCAGAACCCATTCCATATAGACGAGAGGAAAAACAGACAACTGAAAATAATGAAGCTTAAATTTCACATAGGTCTACAAAACATAACTGGTACAGCTGTTGTACGTCTGTTTCCCATATACAGGTCTTATTACAGTATGTGACAAACTGACAGTTTCCAAAAAAATTATATATGGCAGCACCCTTTCTCTTATATTGCAGAGAAACATATTCAGGTTGAGAACTTCAAATTAGTCTAACACTACATGAACATATATTTACATAATTTTATTCATCTACTTGTCTGAGAGACTATTTTTGACAGCAAAGCTAATAATGAAAACACCACTTTTTCCATTCTCTGATTGTCACGTACTTCTGTCCACAGGCTTTTAAATTCTCCTTCACTGTTTTGCATAGTTATAACATTATTTTTCTCAAATTACAACCCACTTTTTCACAGCATAAACTGAATACTTATTTTTAACAGGTTGCCTCGTTTTCACATGGTAAATACTGAACGCAAACTCTGTTGCGTGCCATGGACTCAGTGCATGTTCCAGGAGACCCAAGCATATTCCAAAGGCTTTATGCAGATATTGTCACAGAGATAAAAAGTGACGTTCCCCTCCTCCCTGATTAACCTTCCCACCCTTTGGTATGGAAATAAACCTGGCAGGTGCTGCACACTGGGGTTTTTGTGTGCTGTCAATAAGGGTTACTGCTGCTCAAACTGTTGTCATGACTGCTGAATGGGATGAGCTGCTGCTCTTCAACCAGCCGGCTTATCGCATGTAATACTGACGACATAAATTCTTTACCACATAGCTCACTTTACCTTCTTTGGCTTGTATTTATAACTTGGTTTTTGTTTGACCTTTGAATGCTGAGAAATGAGAAGCTGAAAGATGGCAGTGAGATGGCCTGGTATAGTGGGCATTCCTTTCAGCATGGCAGCTCTGTGCCACAGGAATTAATTCAACAGCTGAAGCCTTTTTTTTTCTATGAAGCAGAGATCAAAGACCACAGTAGGTTGCTTTATAGAATTTGTATAAGCAGTTGAATATCTTGTTAAAAAGGTGTACCTATGCAGATTTAGTGCTGAGGAGAGGAACCAAAATCTAACTTTGGAAACAAAGCTCTTCTCTTCCCTTGCCATACAAACCCATATGGCACAAGCTGTCCTAGGACGTTCCTACGAAAGGCCACAGGGTATTACACCAAAACTGTAGATGACATACTGGGAGTTACTGCAAGTTAAAGGGGATGAATGAGGCAGCTAAAGGGCAGCTGTGTAGTCATGGTTTGGTTGCTTAAATGGTTTTTTTCTTGTTGAAACTTAAACAAGATTAACTCTCTTTTGAAAAAATATACTTTGAGTATTGTTTTCTGTAAATTTTCTCTGCAGCGTGCATGCTCCTAAGTGTGTGCGTAATGGGAAGCTGTGCACCAAAACGCGTGGCCTCTGCTTGATTTAGAGTTAACACCTCACTGAACCTTGAAGCCCAATCCATCACTCTGTAAGATGAGGAGGGAACAAAAAGTTCCCCATCTCCTCCACCTGCTCCTAACCCTGCGGCGCTGCACCAAGACAGTGAAGATGATCAAATCAGGGCTTTGGTTGGCTTGTTGCAGAAGTCAAACTTTTTTTCTTTTGTTGCTGAAAAAGTAGTCAGACTTTTTCCCTTTCTCTTTTTTTTGGGCTTTCTGTGACATGTCATGGAACGGGTAGAGCTGAACAGAGGATACCCGATAGCTACATCATCTAGAAAATTCTCTCCCTGATATTTGGCCCGCACAGCCTTATCAATGCTCTGATTAAATTGCTTGCCATATTTGGATTTGGGACAGAAATTTTTCCAGGTTAAACTGACAGGGAATTTGATGTATTTTCTCTTTCCTGTCTGTCATAGAGTGTGAGCTGCCCACCAAACACTGCTTTTCAGATGCAAAATTAAACAATTCAGTCTATTATAGACAGAAATAGCCAGTTTAATACAGGTTAAGGGAAGTATGTAGGACAAAGGGAGATAAATGTAGCATCCTATGAGAGGAAATCAAACTCGCTAACCTAATAGCATACTGCCCTCAGTCTCCACGATCTCGCAAAACGCCTCTTGGAGATGACCAACAGCTTCATGCCAAAATTCCACTTTTTTTAGCTAACTTCTCCTCATTTGGAAGTCTTCTGCCATTTACTGAGCAGGCCTACTGTGTCCTGATTTACTGAAATCAAGACCAATAATAATAATAATAATAATACTCCATACTAGTAAATTTTGGTTTAGAGCTAGAAACATAAAGGACTAAAAACCCCTCAATATCATTAATGCCTATACTGTCACAGTTGATATAATTCCTAGGCCTGAGCAGGGAGTTAAAGGAAGGATAATAGTCCCATGGTTATTCAACCAGAGCACTAGATAAGATCTCAATTATGTAAAATGACAAAATAGTATCTTCGAAAGAAATTAATATGTTAAGAAATTAATCAAAAAGTATTATTTAGGTTTCAGAGGAAACAGTTGTACAACATATTAGCAATTGTCCAGCACTTATATGAAAGCTATACCTTCATGAGTTCACATGTACACACTCTCTGTCAAGGCTGAGTTCAGGCTACTAAAAGTTACTCCTTTCCAGATGCTGCATCTTCAAACTTATCAGATAAATAAATGACGGATTTTGTCCTACATTAATCCTGTAAACATTTTAATGAACATTTTTATTCCTGCATTCTTTGCCACACCAATCCGATTGAATTTCAAACGTATAAATGTAGTAAGGAATTTCTCATACAGCTCTATACCTGTAAAGTAATGCATACATAGAATACGTTTGTAGGATCTAAGTCTCAGGAAACCAGTAACAGCATTTTCTGAGTTCATTTCAAGACGACTACTGGACAGACTGAGAGCTGAAAAGGTATGGGTTGTTATTGCTACAAAGAAAACCAGATGATTAGAAACCATACTAAGAGATAAAGACTCTGCAAAAAGTGTGTGATTGACTATAAAGTTCACAAACATTCTTCGTCAAGTATTTTCTCTCAATGATTCTTTCAATAACTATCGCCAGTAGCTCTACCTGCATATACTTGGATTCTGGTGTGCTTAAACGTCATTTTGCAGATAAAGGGAAATTTGGGAAGGTACGACATGTTTTTCAACAGCCATAACTATTACCTCAAATTAATCTCTCTCAGGCATTGCATCACAGCATTCAGTCAGGATTACATGTGAGTCAAGCTTGAATCTTTAAATCAAAACTGTTTTTGAATTGTGACACAAAACATACAGAAAAGAAGTTAACTTTGGAACCCCCTCCCATTTGAATTCATGTTCTCTTTGCTCAAAAGACTCATTTGTCTTTGCTACTATTAAAAAAAAAAATTAGAAGAATGCCTTCCAACTTAGGACTAAATTTCATGGTATTATGGTATATAGGTGTCTTATAGGAATGGTAGTAAGCTATAAGAAGAACAGAAACTGCAAGATAAAATACCTGTGTGCGTACGCAGAACATTGTCAACAACTTTAGAAAGGGCAACCTCGTAAATAACATGCTAAAAAAAGCTAAGGAAAAAGCAGGCAGAAGTCTGTTGGGATGGGTATAAAAAAAGCTTATGGGCAATGTGTGCTAACCTGCTGGGCACATCCTCTTCTGTTCCTTTGTCCAACACACTGCTCAGGTTATGCTCTGCTAGCGTCTCTTCAGGAACCTCTTCCAGTTCTTCTTCCCGCTGCAGTGACAGTCGGTAGTTCTCCAGCTCAATCCGCTCAGGCGTGCCACGCAGCCGCTTAGCCAGGCTGGGCTCTTCCAGCCCATTTACATTAGAACCTAAAGAATAAGCCAGTGAATAAACAATAAATGCAACAGTCAGAACTATAATTTTTTTAAGGAAATTAAGCAATTGGGAGAAACAGGGCATGAGGCAGGGGGAGGTAAATAAAGCGAGAGAATACCTTATGTCATTATCCTGTTCACCACTACTGGCAGAACCTGCTGGGGAGCCAGACTGCAAAAGGGAATCTTAGTGGTTTTGGCTAATAGATGCTAAAAAGAATGTTAAATGTCTTAGTTGAGAGAGGAAATAAGGACATTTTAGCTGCAATGAAGCCTATGTCATAAGTATTGGGGAAGGCCTGACCACAGACTGCATATATTCTATGGGACAAAAGTAGGAATGCTATGGGGCAACCCTGCTGCGTAATGTTAAAATTGTTACCAGTCAAGGTAGGTCTACAGAGTCATACTGGGAGAAGAAAAAAAAAAAAAAAAAAAAAAAAAAAAGAAAAAAAATTACTGCTACTTAAAGATGGGGAAGAAAGGGAATGAAAAAGGCAAAACTTTTAAAACTTTTTATTGGCTTGAATTAATTTGCTTTTTAATCAGAGTTTGTGATGAAATGAACCACAGGGAAAAATCTAGGTGAGATGTTTGCAAGCACAAATCCCATGAATCCCAGAAAACTGCAAGGATGTGTGAACCAGGCAGTTGGAGAAAATTACACAGGAGCTTCATTCACTGTGGCACTCAATGAGTGGAATTTTGAGCTGCATTTCTTTTTGAAATTCTAGTATTTTAGCTTAAATACCATGCCACTGTTTACTCTTACCCAGCTTACTATTTACAGAACCCAATCTTTCCTAGCTTCTGTTTTGCTTTGCTAAACAAGCCAAGCCGCCTTCTCATGAGATAACCTCTTCAGTGCACCATCATCCCCTAGGTCTCTGCACCTGTCCCAGTTTGGATTAATCTTTCCAGAACCTGCGTGATTAGAATTGAACACAGCTTTCCAGATGAGGCCTTATCAGCGTAACATACAACCCTGCCAGAAATCTCTCATCTGATACACGCTGAGAACACACTTGCCTATTTATACACCACGTAATACTGGTGGCTTTTATTTATTGACTGATATTCAGATATTTCTCCTTCTCTGCTTTCAACTGATAAGCACCTTGTTGGTAGCCAAAATTCTCAACACTTTCTTAGTGCATGACCTGGCACTTTCTACTATTACATATCTATTTTTAATATTACAGCCTGCAACATTTTGCAGTTCTTAGTGTATGACATGCCTATCCTCCTCTGCATTGATGAGGGTTTGAAATGTTGCCTCAGCAATGAATTTCATTAGCAGATTTTTTTCCTTTTTTTGTCAGTAACCTTAGTGAAAGCATTACAAAGATCAGTCCCCAGATCACTTTTTGTGAAACTCCACAGTCTGTAGGTGACATCCAACCCCATTATTTCCTTTTTCAATAAAGCCTCTATCTCTCATTTAAGTCAATTTCTTAGCTACTTGATACTTCATGTACTACTCCCTCATTTTATCCAGTTTAAATAATTATTTCCATGTGGCAGCCTTCAGGTGCTTTACTGAAGTCCAGACTGTTCAAATGCACTACATCTCTCTTATGAAGGTAATCAGTTACTTCATTGATAAAAGCTGTCGAGATAGTCCGGCATAGTCTTTGATGAATCCATGTCACATTTTATACCACTTACCTTCATAAGGTCAAAGGACTTCACTTGCAGACCTAGCAGTCTTTAGTCATTCCTTCAAAGAAGGCGTTTTATCTACTGTTTAGATTAACTGATATGTACTTGTTCAGATCACCTTCCCCCCCCCCCCCCCCCTTTCTTTTTAATTGTTTATCTGCAGGTCATACTTCTGTCACCCAGTGGTCACATGGTATTACCCTGAATTAGATAGTCAAGGTACATCAGGATAGCTTGATTTAATCGCAAATTGTTACCAGAAAGCTCACAATTTCATTGTACAATTCTTCCACTCTTCTGAGACAAAGACTATTTGGTCAAATTTTATTTCCACTCATTAGAGTATAGTAATATTTAAATTTTGCTTCCAGCTTCATTGGGTTAATTTCCATTTCCAAATCTTGCTACACACTGACTTCTTTTGCTCCCATGTCCAATGCCATTGTCCCAACTGAAATCGGAGACCAAGCATTCATTTGATTGCCTGAATATACGTAAAATTGCATTTTATATCAGCCTCATCTTTACTGTGGATCCACTTCTGCTTCCCTTACCTTGCTTTTACTTACATGCTTAAGGAATACAGCTGTTTGCTTTCCTTTCCTTTGCAAAGTCTAACCCAGCATGAGCTTTGGCAACATTTACTTTATCCTCACACATTTTGACCTCCAAGACAGTTTTTGTTTTCATTCTCCATCCATTGCAGGTTCTCAGTTTATTCCTAACAGCCTTTTCTTCAGGGTAATTACTCACTCAGCACCATCTCAGTCTTTCACACAAAACTACATAGGCCTTGCCATAATTAGCAGCATTTATTTCCAACCCCTCTCCAGAAAGATAAAATCTCATAAAGACAACTGCCAGGAGTGTTTTTATCTCTTCCTTAGTATTATTGAACCCTTCTATGATGTGGGCAAGTGCTGCTGTGCCCTCAGCTGGAACTACACGGCTTCTTTATGGTACAAACCACAGCAGCTTGCTCAGGTGGCAGGCGGGAACATTACCTTGCATTTCCAGGGATACTGTGGTCTCTACCGTTTCCTGCTGCTAAGCCTTATGTTGTGTTAGTATTTTCAAAGTTTAATGGAACTGGACTGCCTTGTCAGCTGGGATTCACATTTCATTTCATTCTCTCTAGATGGTGATACCACCTCAGCCAAATCTATTTTTGTAATCTGTGTTATATTCCCCAACCCTGAGTTCACAGTAACAGGGGAACTGACCTGGAATATTGCTCTGCCACTTCTGGCTGACAGTGAAAAACCAAAGGGCTCTGGGTAATGCAAGAACACCAAAGTGAGAGAAAACAAAGAAGGAATATACTAAAGCATCATGAAACAAGAGTTTTTCTACTTGGAACTCTTTATACACAACAGAGCCATCAGCTAGGCTCAGCTACTTCAACAGAAATATCTTTTCACAAACTGTTCTTAACTTATTCTCTTCCTCTTCCGATGCATACCCCAACACAGCTGCACAGTCCACAAGCAGAAAAAAAGGACGACAACAAAAAGAACGAGAACTTTTTATCTATCTGGCATTATTTCACTCCTCTTGTTTTCTAACAATCTTAAGGGGTTTTTGTCAGCCTTTTCAAAGTAAAACAACAAAAAAAAGAAATATAAAGTTATTCCCATATAATTAAATGAAATAGAGTATCAAAAAAAAAAAAAGATGCTTGTTTCAATGCTGCAATGTCTGGGGTAAGGAGAAAGACTGGCAGCAATCACTCGAAGGTAAAAGAGGACTGAAAATCAAGCTGACACCTGTTTATATGCAGTTCGTGAACATATATGATTTTTTAGGTATGTTATTCGAAATACAAATCATCGTCACCCTTCTCATCATGAAGACCCAGTATAACTGGTACATAGAGAATCAAACCAATTCTATCACAGCACAAAGTCTAAGTGGGAGTAAGTGACTCAATGGAGCTGTGTTAAAAAAACTGAAGCGATGGAAAATCTGCCTAAACTTTAATGCAACAGGGTGTGGTCAAGCCAAGATGTCCTGTGAGCTTGACAAGTGCTCTGTGCCTCAAAATCCCAAAGAAATAGGAAGGACATTCCCAGCATTTTCTTTAATTAATTTATATATCCAGATACTTGAGATACAGGATTGGTCACATCCCTCCACTTCACTTTGCAAAGAAAACAGCTCTACATCGGAGAACATGATACAAAAACTCAAATGATTACGAGCTTCAGCAAGGCATTTCTAGGAGTTTGGTTTATAGAGACTATTTGGTCTACTTGGTCTATTGGTTTGGTTTTTACAAGGTGCCACGAAGACTCACCTGGCTAGCTGCAAAGCCATTGTTTAACTTGTTACCAAATGTGAAACAGGAAAAATGCTACTGATAAGCCAACTTTCTGCACCATGAAGCCATCAACTATCAGAAGGAAAAGCAATACAGTTCACAAACATACTTAAGGGATGAAAGCAAGGGTGAGATACAGGTATCGTTAATGTGATAAGATGATGAACAATTTGCTCACATTATGTTATAAACTTCACACCAATTCATTTGAAGCTACAATAAGAAACTATAAATAGGGACAAGGAAATTTGAAGCTTTCCTGCCCTCATTTCCTCCTGTATGTCATATGCATGGGCAAGGTCTATTCCAATGCAGTTCTTGTAGATGCTAAACCTTATTCTCTGATGTTCCTCTGGAGGGGAAAGGTGCTTCTATCAAATCATTATGTTGTATTCCCAGGCTGTTGTGCAGCTTGCTGGTGGGAAATAGCTGCAGAGTGCACTCATCCATTAGCTGACATTCTACCTTGGCAGTGCATCTGGGCCCACAGAGCCAAAAGCCTGCAACTAGTCACAGCTGAGAGAAAAGGGGCTGATGCCTCATCAGGCTGCATTTGCTAGAAAAAAAAGCTATGTTACTAGCCAGAGAGGGGAGCTACCCAAAAGCCAAGAGCAGCTTCTCATGCAATCAACTGATCAGTTAAAAATCCACAAACATCCAAAATAGGACACGTTTTAAAATCTGATTCGTTACTTTGGAAGAGTCAGTGGGCCATGAATATTACATAGATCATCTGAAGGGAACTGGTTTTTTTAACAGGACAGGCTGCTTAGCTGTTGCATGAAAGCTGCCAGAGCCCTTTATTTATCTCAGCCTTGACACAACCTGTCTCCTGTAAAGATAATTGTATGATCAGAGATAACATTCCTACACTGAAGCACTCCTTGCCTGCATGAATGTGTCCTATTCTGGTAACTTTGGCAATTACTGGAAAGCTTGAGAAGCTCCTCCCGAGAGGGGATCCCATCTCAATTTTCCCCCAGTACTACCTTCTTCTGTAAAATCTACAGAT